TCTCTCTCTCTCTCTCTCTCTCTCTCTCTCTCTCTCTCTCACTCATGGTATGTCTGCGCATCTATACCTATCACACGTAACTGACCAACTAACAACTATCTTCCCATCTAGCCATCTTCCGCAAATGAACACTCAGAATTACCTTGCCTACCATGCTACTCAACACAAGACAAGGGCCAACCACCAGATACGGCGGTACCTGTGGGGCCATGGCCATCCAAGGGACACTGAAACTGGAACCAGAAAGGATCAAAATCAACGGACCAGAACAAGACGATGGCAAACTGCATCAAAATGATCCAATCAAAATAACAAATCTATTTGCAAGATTGGCAGGTTGGTGACCATTTTCAACAATTACCTGTCCCTCACCTCTGTTCACCCATCTGCCGAACACAACCCGCATTGGTTTCGCCAAAAGGACTGCGCCACTTGCGACACACACTCCTGCTCCCATCACCTGCCAAAGTGCATTGCATACCGACTGATTGGTTGGTTAGAGCTATCAGCTATGTCAACAACACAAACAACACCGACCCGATAAAAAGGTAGTCAACGTTCCTCCTCCTATCCAATCACCTCCTCCTCCTCCTCCTCCTCCCCGCCGCCTTCCATCCTCTATCCTCACAGTTTTGTCCTTTTCTTCACAACTGCTTTTCTCTCCTCCGCCATACTCCTACAGTGTTATCCTTTCCCCCTACTTCTCCGTCTTCCTCTTCATCCACCTCCACCTCCACCTCCACCTCATCATCACCATCACCATCATCATCCACCCTCTCTCTTCCTCCTCTTCCTCCTACACCTCCTGCAGCAGCACCAACAGCAGGCAGTGAGAACTCTGTCACACAATTTCGAAAAGGAAAATCGATTAAACGATTACCGCATCACTTCAAGAAACCATTTCAAGCAGAAAGGCATGCCCACTTTACATCCACTGCTGTTCCCATCCAGTTGGCACACCAGATGACGTGCTTCCTCCTACTCCTCCTCCCCGTCCTCCTCCTCTCTGTGAACCCCACGGGTCTAACCCTCCTCCTCCAACCTTGTCCCAGATTGAACCTTGTTCAGAAGGATTCCGGGCATCACCGCTGGGGCCAACTCCTCCAGCAGCAGAGCCCGCGGACGTCCGAAATGGTTCCCCTCCAAACACATCCTCAAAACCCACTTGCTGGCCTGCACCGGAGCCACTGCCTGGCATCGGTGGAGATGTCGGGTCCTTCGTAAGGGTATCCCACATATAAGTCGGAGACGTACACTCTGGAGTTGTCGTCTGCGAACGCCCATCGCCACTAGCACTTGCCCCGTTCTGTTTCCCTGTCCCCCAAGCCTGGTCTCCTCCCAAGACCTGCCATACACCCTGAACGCTGCCACTGCCGCCAGCTCGCTGGAGGTTCTCTCCGGCTGAAACCCCACTCCCAACTCCACCTCTCGCCGCATTCAGCTGCTTCTCCAATGCCGCCACAGTTGACTTCAAATCCTGGATTTCCTTTTTCTGAGAGGTCGCTAGTGCGACGACCTTTTCCAGCTTCGACAGCAAATCCGCTTTTTCGGCAGAGACTTGTCTTAGCTCATCTTTCACCTTCTCCAGCTCATTGCTCGGTGGAAGCGGACTCCTCCCACTGCTCTCTGCCGTGCCAACACCACTATCTCTTTCATTTGGTCCGGCATTCAGGTTCATCCCGTTCCCAAGCTCCAGGGCAAACTCGTTGAAAAGTGGGTCGGTTGAGATCACTGCAGACCCGCTGCTCTTTTGCAAAGTGCTTCCCCCGGTCGACGTTGTGTCTTGCGAAGACCGACCAGATGCGAATCCTCCACTCCACTCGTACGACCTGCTCGGAAATTGCCCTTGCTGTTGCTGCTGCTGAGATTGCTGTTGTTGTTGCTGCTGCTGCTGCAGCTGCTGTGTTTGCTGTTGTGGCTGCTGGTGATGCTGCGAACCTGAAGTGCTCGCATTGTGATCGTCAGGGTCCGCGTCATCACCGCTCATCATCTTGAAACCCATTCCGTCATCGTCCATGGAGTGAAGAGGGGAGGCGAAGGCATGTGATCCTGGGATAGAACCCTGCATCTTCTTCATCAAACTCGACACGCCAGTCTTCTTGAAAAACTTACCCACACCAGATCCACCCTTGTGTCCCTGAGCCGGCAGCGAAGACGAAAGTCCACTTGAACCCATCTCCGGCCCAAACCCATCTTCTGGTGTCGCTGACGACGTCGATGGCCTGCGTCCCCCTCGTGAAGGAGGGCTGCTACTTCTGGGTGGGCTTGCAAGTGTGCCGCCACTGAGTGGTCGATCTTGCACCGAGGGTTTTTCCCAGTCCCCTGGCCGCTGCTTTGCAAACTGTGATTCCCAAAAAGAACCTGCCCCTGGTGTTGAACCAGGTCCAGAGCTTCGCCGTTGCCTTTCTGGGCTCGGATTCATGGTTTGCCGTGGAGCTGGTCTCGACTGTCCCATCCCAGAAGTCCCTGCCACAACGGAAGTACAAAGCAGTGGAAGACTTTTAGAGTGGACTTGCACAAATAGTGAAGTTCAGTAAGTGTTTAAACTTTAAAGTTTAAACACTCACGATCGATCTAGCATCATGCACTGCCATAACAAAGTCCACACAGCCACTCAGCCATACCTCCTGGGAAAAACAGGGTTTGAACCCGCGACTTCTGGGCAGACAGACCAGATCCATCTGAGAAAGGATGAGTCCTCAGAAGCGAAGCGAATGTCACACATTCTCCGCATCACCACAAACAATGTCGTCGAAAATTTCGCAAACAAACAATGCAGGCTCACAATACAAACATAAAAAAAAAAAAAAAAAAAACAGGCGGAAAAAAAAAAAAAAAAAACAAAAGCACTATAAAACTTAACGAAAGTTACAAAACCGTATTCGGAGTAGCTTTTCGAGTTCGCCAAAATTTTCTCCAAATTCGGTGTCTTTGCCACCGTTTCCATTACCGGTCCAAATACATCGAAATCGAAACATCAAAAAAACAAACAGGCGAAAAAAGAAAAAAAGAAAACACTCAAAAGCACTATAAAAGTCAATAAAACCCTATTCGGAGCAGCTTTTGAAGTTCGCCAAAAATTTATCCGAATTCGGTGTTTTAAACTGTCTTTGCCAAATTTTCCGTTACTGGTCCATATACGTCAAAACTGAATATCAACGCAAAAAAAAAAAAGAAACAAAAATTCAGGGAAATATGGCAGTTTGGTGAAAAATTCACCGCAAATGACACCACCTATTAACCATTAGTGTACCTTAGTCCCTGTGTTGCCAGCCAACCAGCTTCCCCTCATCATGACCGTACTGGAGCGGAAAGATAGCTTGTGTACATTCATCATGGGGCTGCGCTGTGTTCGGGGGAAGACAGCAGGGGACATTTTGAACCTCCACCTGTTGCCGCTTTGTTCCTCGAAAGAGCTACGATGCCAGGCCAGGTTCACCCCGTATCTCTGGTGATAGTCTGAAAGGAGCTAGAGGCCTTGCAGGGTAAATCCCATGAACTATGAGAATTCCACATACTTTCGAAAACTACTATTACATTCTTCCTCCCAAAATTTCCTTCCATGACCTATCAACTTGATTATTTGGCCATTACTTGCCCTCCTCCACCACCAAAAACCCATACGATGCCTTTTTCAAGTTGTCCTCCTGCAGTAAGACACAAATGCGAAGACAACTGAGGCCTTCGTTCGGCAGAAAACTGTCTGTTTTACGTCAGATATGCAGATGATTTTGTTATATTGCTCACTGGGACGAAGAAGGTTGTAGAAGGCATGTGGCATACTGATACCACACGGCCCCCAGTTAGGGCCCGGTTCTGTAATAGGCACTGTTTAGGCCTAGGTACCAGGTCACGACGGTCCCAGCTAGGACCAGGTAGGCCTAGGAACCGTCGGTTCCGTTTAGGGTCCGGTAGGCCTCGTTTAGACCCCACCAGACCCACGCTAGTTGTTTAGGCCAGGTACCGGTCCATCGGTAGGCCCAGCCAGCGGCGCAGTTTTAGGCGCCACTTTTCAGATTCAACCGGATCTGAACCGTTGGGCCCGATCAACGGTCCAGACCCGAAGCCACTCAGTAGGACTGAGGCCGACCCAGCACTATATCAGCTGGGTACCAGCCTCAGTTGGTAGGTTAGTAGACAGGCGGTTAGTCTACGCGTTAGTCTTCAGGATTAGCGCAGCGCTTCAGCGTTAACAGGATTAGCGCAGCGCAGCAGCGTTCGTGTGAGCAGCGACGAGAGATTGAGCACAGCGGCGAGGAGGAATTAGCGCAGCAGTTGGGAACAGCGCCGGCCACCGGCCCAGGCCGCGGCCCAGCGCCAACCTCCTGCAGCACCATAGCTACCGGATCAGGTACCAGGGAGAAAGGCCTTGCCTTCTCTCCCTCTTCTTCCTCCGCCACTCTCTCTCTCTCTCTCTCTCTCTCTCTCTCTCTC